CATGTGAATGGTTAACCTGAAAGCATCACCCTTACCAGGTGATGCTTACTGGTTACAGTTAACCAGCAGGGACTGAAGCAGCATAGCAGACAGGCCTTGAGGATGCATAACATAATATAAATCTATGCTGAAGTGTTTTCAGGATTGGGCACTAAATTTATTTCACAAATTAATCTTACCTGTCAGAACCATTCCAGCAGCATTCAAACTTGTCAAAGATGCAGTCATTTTCATACAGAGAACAAAGCTTGCTTCGAAGATATTCATGAACCTTAAAACATTTAATGAAGTATTAGACAGACTTAAAGAAAATGATGCTTTTTAAATAAAAAATTATGAAAACTGTACCTGATATGTCTCTACAGGCCTGTTTTCCATATTGAGATCCCACACTTTAACTGAAAGGTAGTCTCTTGTCATCATGTATCGACCACTGTGACTGAATTTTACATCAGATATTGAAGAAATAATTTCTGAAAAGAATGATCTGCTGCTGGGATCTTCAGGCTCTTCAAAAACTGTAAATTAAGATGTAAAGTAAAACTTCATCCAATACAACAAATTTTACAAATGGCAATGCTATTCAGTATTTACATATTTTAAAATCATGGACCTGAATACTAAGTCCCCCATTTAAAAAAAGAAAAGAAAAAAAAGAGATCATAGCCTGGCTTAGTTTTGTGGGGATTTTTTTTTTTTTTAAAGGTGATCTTTGTTTAAAAAGGCACTAAGTTCTGGTATATCTAGACTATCAAGAAACTGCAATTCTTGGACTTTGGGAATGAACATTAGAGAGGAATTAACCCAAAAAAATGTATAGGAATCTAAATTAAAAAATAATTGCTTTTCCACTAGGACTACTTATTATGATAAAGCAGAACTACAAAATATTAAATATGTACAATAATAATGCATCTCCAGTGTACATTCTTTTCTAGATCCCATATCTCAGTGGTGCTAGAGAATATGCATTTTATAAAGCAAATATAAATTGCATCACACACAAAATATATTGAAAGAGCACATTTGTATTTACACTGGAATTGCAATCAGGATCTAGGTCTACTTTTTTGAATCGTGCTACTTGGTGATGTTGAAAGTTCACGTACTCTTTATCCTTAAAATCAATGACAATACAAACCATTTAATACCAAGAGAATACCACCAAAGTTCGTTCTTATAAACCTTGTATATAACCATCACAGACTATGGTACATTTTACAGAGTAAAGAAAGTAAACAAAAATGATAAGCTAGACTGGCTATTGACATTTCCAGTTATATAAACTCTTCATCTTCATATAAACTAGCCTGGCTATAAAGGATGTTTAAAATATTTCTCTTCTGGAATAAAAAAATTGCTCATCTTTTCTACAATATATGAGCTTACCTGGAAATATCAATGCTATTTACGTCAACCCCAGGAAGGAGTGATATATAAAATTATTACTATTATGCAACCAAGAAACAACAGGCTGTGTGTAAACATGGGCCCTATTCCTTATGGTGGAAATATAAAAGCTTTCCTCACCTATATGAGGCTGTGTGGCTCAGTGGTTAAAAAAACAAAAAAACAAAAAAAATCACACACTGGCCTTTTACCTCTGGGAACTGGCTTCAAATCCAGCACAGATCACTGTGAATAAAATTCATTCCGATAGCTGTAAATGGTCACAAATGAAATGGGTTCTGGCAGCCTCAGCCCAGTTCCTAATGCACAAAGGTAGATGTCAATAAATTGCCCTGAACTGGCACTCGTTAAGCAGATACCTTTGAGAAGCACCAAGACTGAGTCTGGACAGAAGACAGGTCTCACTGGTGCCAAAAGCACTTGAGCCACATCGTCAATTGTCTCATGCTACACTTCTGCTTGTTGATGGCCTAGAACAAGACAATTAAAATGTTCTATTCTACAAAACTACGACCCCTTACCTTTGTAAGTTCTTTACCAATTAGCAGAATTTGACATTTTAATGTTTAAATAAGTAGAACACCGTCTCCAGGAAAATGTATCAGACAAACAAGTTTATAAAGCAAAGAGATATTTTAAGTTACTTACATTTTGAATGCCTATCACAGAGGGCAGAAGAACGCATATCACAGAGTCGTATAGTTCCTTTACTACTACTGTAGACAAACACATTACAATGATGTGGGTGAAACTCTGCAGCAGTAATCACTTCTGTCAGTTCCTCCATATTAGCAGGCTTAATATCTACAATGTCTGAAAATTTGTTTGTAAAGGTGCCAAATAGCATCACGATTGTTTTAAAATACAATTTCAAAAAAATTGTTAATTATGGTTCTTGTATAATTTTAGAAGCATAAGGAAAGTTCATCTCTTCTGCTGTGGGGACATTTACTCATTGTAAAAGGATATGAGTAAGAAAAATAATCCTGGGCAGATGCTAGCATCTGTACCCAGTATCATGCATAAAAATATCTGAGTGGAAATTTTTTTGCAGGATCTTACCACTGAACATTGAATGGCCTTTGTTCCCCTTATGCTGTAAAACATCTTAAATGATATTTTATATTTCTCAAATCTTTGCTTTTATTGAAGACACTAATGTTATTTGCCAAAAATCTCTCTTAATTGTCATGGACCATTTTGGCCTGAAATAGGCAAACCTTAAGCCGTACCAAAAGGGTCACTTTCAGCATTGTCTGTCATGGACCATTTTGACCTGAAATAGGCAAACCTTAAGCCATACCAAAAGGGTCACTTTCAGCATTGTCTACAAGACATATCCATTCTTGGTGTGCAAAATTCTAAAGTGTCTATTTTATTTCAAGATAAACAGAATACACACAGGTGACACTGAATACAACAGGAGGTAGCACTCTAGCAAAATGGAATCCTTTATTTTTTAAATATATCATCAATAATCTCATTTAATAGAAGACTGATACTCACAATTAAGAAATATGATATAACATAGCATTTCAATTCGTTTTCACATTCTGATTTGCAAAATTACACTACCTCAACCCAATATATGTCCCAGCTTGGCGCTTTCCATTTCAAAAACAAGTTTCACTGTGAATTACAGCATTTGAACTAAGGATGTTAAGCGGATAATTCACTAATTGTGTAATCGATACAATCTGTTGAGAACAGGGAGCCCGGCTCCTATTACATTTAAAATGCAGAGCCTCAGCAGGGTTAGCTCGCATTGGCTCTGCCTCCCGTCACCTAAGTTGGTCCCCCCACCCCCCCGTAGGGATATTAAATTTAGATTAATCATCTAATCTAATAGCTGATGCAATTTGCACCGGCCATTCGATTAGTCAATAATGGCGCCTCTGTCTTTGAAGTGTAGCAACATCACCATTCGATTAGTCAATAATGGCACCTGTCTTTGAAGTGTAGCAACATCCCTAGCACTGCCACTTTGGAGCACCCACTTCTCTCTCCTCCCTACCCCCTTGCTGCCTCTTTTTGATAGAGGCAGCTGGGGAGGGGGAAATGTGGAGGAGGGGAGCGACTAGTGTGTCAACCAGTCATTCACCTCCCTCCCTCCCAGTACCAGCTCCTGCTTACCCACCCCTCCATGTTGCTGCTTCTGACACAGAGGTAGCAAGGGTGGGGAGGGAGTGAAGAGTCTTTCAACTACCCAATAAGCCTAGGCTTATCAGGTACTTGACTACTCAAGTAGTCGCTTACATCCCTAATTTGAACTAGTGTTTAATTATATGACTGGAGTTAAATGAAAGTATTTAGGCGCTTATGTTTAGTAAAAATGCAGAGAAGCACTTTTCTATTAAAAGTTAAAACACAGAAATGTATATACGATCATAGAATTCATACTGAAAAAGGATACTAAAACTTCTATCTGTGATTTCTAAATGCCATAGGTTAATTCTTAGGTCATCTGCAGAAAGGTATGTTTCATGATCACTATTTACTGAAATAGAGTTTATGTGATACGTGTGTGCATTTGCAAATATCCTTCGGGGACTTGCTTCTACCATTAGGTCCATGGGTTTCAATATTGGTACCTGCAAAGAGCAAGATACAAAAAAAAAGACAGTTTTCATTTGCAGGGAAAAACATCACTATAAAGGCAAAAGAAATAGTAATTTGTGATTCATACATTCACATTAAAGATAAGTTATATTCAACTACTGTATGTAGTCATTTTTTATTATGTAAAAATTTAGATTACAGTATAGGGTTGTAAAATCCTGTTTAATTGGCTATCCCGTTAAACATATTGTTTAACCATTTAATCTATTAAAAAGGGGAGCAGGGGGTCGCTCCAGCCCAGCTAGAGATCTCTCCCGACCTGCCGCTAGGCTGGAGCCCCCCCGAGGACAAAGGCTGCTTCGGATCGGATGCTGGAACAGCATGCCTGCCCCCCACCCCATGGGGCTGAAGCAGCGCCCTGCCCATGGTAGGCGAGGAGCTGTTCCAGTCCCTACCAGTTAACCTTAACCAGTAAAATCTTTGCACCCCATCAAAGCAATCAGATTCTCTCTCTTTACTGGAAGAGCATTCATTTAGTTCTGGGGCACTTTCAAATCCACTGAGCAAAAAAAATATGTAGCAAAACAGTTGTCGTCCTACTTTGACTTTCCATATTAGCGCACAAACCAGATCCTGGATTAACTTTTTGCATTTCAAACATGTAAGGCTCTCCCATACCTCCACCATGAAGAGACAAGTACAAGTACACGTTTATACTGAACAATTTGGCTATCTCCAATTTGAAACTAACATATCTGAAAATACATCTTCTGTAATTACTTTTAAAATCTATAACTGAAAGAAATTAGCTAACCAAAAAAGAGCTCAGATTGTTTACTTTGAGCATCTGATAGCTCTTGGTATTCATGCTATTTTTCCTCTAAAAGTCAATTAATTCCTTGCACACATCCATCAGGCAGACTCAAAACTCTTAAAACATTTTAAAATGGAATGAAAAACAAAACTATTTGAAGGATGAACCACCAGAATGTGGACTTTTAGAATTAGAAAAAAGTTGGTTAATTTAAAAATTAAATCATTTTGACCACGTACTCATAATCTGATACTCTTCTTACTAAATTGTTGAGAAATTATTTTTAAACACACCAAGAGGAAAGCTAAGAGAATCATTGTTTTTTAAAAAAACAGACGAGAGATTTCTGGAGCTGCCACATCTTGTTTATCAAAAACATCCTTTTTCTTACCACTAATGATGTGTCACATTTTAACATTTAAGGTAAAAACATAAAAAATATAAGGGACAAAGTGGCATTCTGAGATGAAATGGAAAAAAAAAATATTTGAGGGTATATGATAGGGATGTTAAATATCGGGTAATTGAATAGTTGATTAACCTTGAAATTCTTATCAGTTACTCAATTATTCTATAGTACCCAGGTGTGGGGCCGGTAGCCGGTGAGCTCCAGCCCCATTTCTGAGGAGCCCCCTGCCACTCAGAGCTGTTGCCTCCGTATCAGGCGGGAGATGGTCTGAGAGGGCAGCCAGTTTAAAAAACCAGGTCCTCTTGCCGATCTGCCTGTTGCCCTGCACTGCTGCCTCAGACACAGAGGCAGCTGTGCAGGGTAGCAGCAGCCCCTTTCCGGGGGACTGGAAGGGGGGGCTGAGCTTCCAGACCCGGCACAAGCTGGAACGGAAATGGGCTGCCTGCTCGCCTGGCTCCTAATACAATTTAAATGGAGAGCTGCAGTGGGGTAGGTCCTGGACCCAGAGAGAGACAGGACTGAGCTGGGCTGCTGGTTAGCCTGCTAAAAAATTTATTAGTGGGCGGGGGCAGGTGGAAGAGAGAATGAATATAGTCTATAACATTAACCTATAAACTTCTGCTTATTGGTTAATCAACTACTCTATTATATCCCTAATATACAAGTCTTATAAAAGACAATCAACATTCAGAAACACTTGGATTAATGTAATTAAAGGTAAATTAAACAAAATCTAAATTACAATTAATTACAATTAAGTGTGAAATTTTCCTTGATGTAAAACTCTGCATCAAGGCTGCAGAGGAAAAGTGGAGCACATGAGCCACACAGAGAGCTTCAACACTCTGTATGTCAGTTTGGAAGATCAGTGTTGAAAGAATGAGGATGGCTATGTAAATCCAGTAGGCCTAACACACCAAGTGTACAGGAGTGACTACAACTACAATTCTGCAGTAGCTGCTGTTGGAAGGGGAAGGCTCTATGCACCACAGTAGGGATGTTAGCGTATACTTAGGTAAACGAATAACCGATACACCTAGGCTTATTGGTTAATCCTATCGACTACATGCACTTCCTCTCTCTTGCTGCCTCCGTGTCTGGGAGTAGGGTAAAGTGGGATGAGGTGCCCATGAGGAGATGGCTTTAAGCAGGCTCCCCACAAGCACCAGATCTGACCCCCCACCGTGCTGCTGCCTATAATCGAGAGGCAGCAGTGTGGGGAGGGGGAGGGGAAAAAGGGGGGCAGCTGGAGCAGATACACACAGGGAGCAAACTTTCAAGTTAGCTCCCCATGCATATGGGGTCCCACGGACCCACCTGCTCCCCCTATTGGCTGCCTCCTGTAGAGGCAGCAAGGGGGAGCAGGCAGG